TGAGGAGTTTCCACATTGATTTCCACAATGGTTGCACCAGACTAGGGTCATTTTGTTCTTATGGCTGAAATCCAAGGATGAGGTGCCCGGGGGGTGGGGGGGTGGGGAGGTGGCATGCAGACTGCCTCTCCTTGTTCCTGAAAAGCAACTCACCCCAGCCCGAAAAGCAAAACTTTGTTTCCTTCCAACCTGGATCCAGGGATGTCTCTGCAGAGAGAGACAGTGCCAGAGGCTAGGGCTCAGAATATGAATAAGGACCCTCTTTCTCCTCAATCAGGGGCAGTCATGACCAGGGAGATCATGGAACACAGCCGTCATCAACCACTGTCCCCTCCTGTCCTTCCCAGCCGAATCCAAATCTCACCATGAACCCTGAAGTCCAGGGAGCTGGAACAGAAAAGGGAGGTGACTGGGGCATGGACTTGAACCCAGTGAGCACATACCTCAGAAACAGGAAGTGTTGCTGGGGGTGGTGGTGCACACCTGTAATCCCAGCGCTTGGGAGGCTGAGGCAGGAGGATTGTATGTTCAAGATGAGCTTGGGCTACAAAGTGAGCTCAAGGCAAGCCTGAACTGCATAGTGAGACCCTGTCTCAAAAAAAAAAAAAAAAAAAAAACAACAACAAAAAAAACCAGACATAAAGAAACAGGGAGTATGTCACGCCCACTTTCGCATTGCTTGAGCTTCCTGTCCTTTAGGATTGCAAGAGAATTTGCCTCCCTGTTTCCGACTCTCTGGGCTCTAAACTCTGGCTTTGCACATCTGGAGGTCGGATTATTTGCCCCAGAACATACTGGGGTCTGGGTAGAGGTGGGGGTATTAAGTTTCTCTGGATACTGCCCTGCACACTTACATGTTTCCTACATTTTTCTTGAGGGAAGTAATTGTAATAGTTATAATTATCACTGAACAGTAAAACTTGGTGATTGTGTGTCTGTTTACCCAAAACAAGGTTGTAGACAGGAAAAGATCAGGATGAATGGTTTTACAAACCAAAATGGTTGATTCTTTGGGGATCCTGATTAGTAGTGTATTGGCAGATTAGCTGGCAGTATTTTCAAAAACTTGACCTGTGCACCTAGGTAGGTAGTAGGATTCTGAGCTTGGCTGTTTGCAGGGAGGTTTTGGGGTAAAAATAGCGGAATTACTATGATGTTGTCAGTTTTACATTACTATGCAAAATGCCTGAGATGATACAGTTTTATAAAAGGAAAGGTTTATCTTGGGTTAGTTTCAGACTTTTGGGCCTGTGTTGAGGCAGCACACCATGGCAGAGAGTGCCTGGTAAGGAAGTTACTCACTTCCTGGTGTCAGGGAAGTAAAGAGAAAGAGGAAGGGGTTGGGGTTTCAGCGTCCCCTTCAAGGGCACACGCTCAGTGGACTACCTTCCTCCCACTAGGCCCGCCTTCCCAAAATTCCACCACTTCCTAATAGGGCCAGAGGCTGGTGAGCAAACCTTTAGGAATGAGCCTTTGGGAGGCACTTACCAAAACCATAGCACCTTCTGTCATTACTTCCCAATTGTCCAGTTAGATTAGCCATTTACAGGGCCAGGGATATATAGCTCAGCACAGTGCTTGCCTGACAAGTGCAAGGTCCTGAGCTTGATTCCTGGTACCGGAAAAAAAAAAAAGTAGCCGCTTCTCTTTTTCAGGCTTGAACTCAAAATTTTCTCTTCATGAAATGTCCCAATCTAGTTATCACTCAATGTTTCTTCAGTAGTTTAGCTTTATATACAGGTAACAGCTATCTTTTTCTTTTTGTCTTTTTGAGACAGTGTTTCACTGTGCAGTTCAGACTGGCCTTGAATTTACTTTGTAGCCCAGGCTGGCCTCAGATTTGCCTTGATTAGCCCGATGTGGTGGTGCATGCCTGTAATCCCAGCACTCGGGAGGCTGAGGCAGGAGGATCGTTGTGAGTTTGAGACCAGCCTGGGCTATAAACTGAGCTCAAGGCCAGCCTGAACTGTATAGGAAGACCCTGTCTCAAAAAAAAAAAAAAAAAAAAAAAAAAGATTTTCAGTGATCCTCCTGCCTCAGCCTCCCAAGTGCTGAGATTACAGGTGTGCACCACCACACTCGCCCCATGACAGCTATTTTGAACTACAAAGCTGTAAGCAGCAGTGTGATATTTTACTTCTTTTGTATGTATGCATGCCGACTGAGATGGTGAGCCCATGGGAAAGATTAATGAAGTGCTCAATCCCTTGGGAATAGTTACACACACACACACACACACACACACACACACACACACACACACACACACACACACACACACACATTTTCCGTTCTTTTTTTGGGGGTGCTGTTTGCCTGGGTTTTTTTTTTCTCTTTTTCTTCTTCAGCGCTGAGGATCAAACCCAGGGACTTGTACTTGTTAGACAAGTCCTCCACTATGAGCCACACCACCAACCCATATTTTCCTTAAAGCAACGTAGTTTAAGATAAAAAAATCATAAATTTTTTATGAGTTGGTAGTTTCTACAGGGCCATCTGCATAACTGTTGAAGAAAATTGTGCCAAAACCCAAAATAATAGTTACTGTTTGTTACAGAACCTTTGTGCAACCCAGACTAACCTCAAACTCGCTCAAAGTCATGATCCTGCCTCAGTCTCTTGAGTGCTGAGATTGTAGGTGTATACCACCATGCTGAACTACTTCTTTTTGATTCTCTAAGAAGTTTGACTATCCCTAGCAGATTTACTTCTCCTGTAAAACATCACATTCTCTAAGGATCTAGGCCAATGACAGTGAACATTTTAGAGCTTTCAGTGTTAACAAGCAGCTGTGGCATGTGTGCCTTAGGTTCGCCACCACTGATGGGCATATCTGAGGGTCACAACACCCTAGGTATTCCTGTCCCATCCCTAGCCATGATGGGCTAGGGAAGTGGATCTTTTTTTCACACTGGGGGTTAAATTTAGGGCCTTCACACTAAACTACATCACCACCCCTTTTTATTTTGAGACAGGATTTTGTTGAATACTAAATTTCCCAGGCTTAATTTGAATTTGAAATTTTGCCTCAGCCTTCCAGGGTGCTGGGACCATACCTGGCTTGGAAGTGGGCTTTTAAATGGATGATTCCTGTGTTCCTCTCACTGGAACAAATGGCCCGAGACAGCTAAAACTTGGACAAACTGCATTGTTATCATAGTTTGTTCAGCTCTGCTGCAGAAATCGATTCCCACCACTGTTTTAGTGGGTACAAACTATGAGATGTCCTGAGGTGGGGAAATTGCAACTTAGGAAAGTTCTCCAAGTCAATAGCTACCCTAAGACATTAGAAAAGCTTTTATGCAAAGAAGGAAGTAATGTGTTATCTGTCCTCCAGGGACTTATCAGTAGAAGCAGTAGCTAGACATCCCTGGGGGTATATTTTTTATTCAACACAAACAAGCAATGGCCCAAGAAGTGCATTTCTCTATATCTGATCCGCATTCCATTGTGACAGGGATATTGTAGTCTAGAAGGACTGCGTTATAGTATGAAGTTGGACTAGATCCATGATACTCAACAGGGAAAGACAAGGAGGGCATTACAAAATCTCTGGGAAGCTGATGTAGTTTAAAAAAAAACCCAAATACACTTCTAGTTTTTCTTAATTTGAAAACATTAAAAGATAGCATTTAATTTGCTTAGGCAGTGTTTAAAGTTCCTTCCAAATCATTTTTTAAAAATTTCTTTTTGAGACAGAGTGGACGTAGTCTTAACATAGTCAAAGATCACCACAGGGATTGGGAACAGGCAGAGTCCAGGGCCCTTACCTGCTACTTATTAAAAGCATGATTTTTCTCAGGAGACTGAGGCAGGAGGATTGCTAGGAGCTCGAGAGCACCCTCAGGGATACAGCAAGTTCAAGGCCAACCTGTACTACATAGCAAGACCCTTACCCCCCCCCCCAAAAAAAAGCACAAAACTATAATTTATGTTTTCTTGTAGGGTAGCCACAGTCTGAAAACCATTTTTCCTATGAACCATGACTTCTCTTGGGCCTACATGTGCCTAATAAGTACCTAAAAGCAGAGTAAAGCCGGACCTTCATTTTTGTATCCTTTATTAGTATAAATCTTGAATTAAATCTCTTAGATTTTCATAGGGATATGTTGATCATTTAGGGAATGTCTGGCTAGAAGCTGGCTGGACAGGGTTGATTAGCTGGATTTACCTGATCTCATCCCCATTTGAGACTCAGGACACCAAGTTAAGAGGTTTACAGGGACATTCACCTTCCAGACACTGTTTTAAACCTGTGATCACCTGGATTCCAGGAAAAGTGGAGCCCCACATGACTGAAACCACCATAGACAAACAGTCCTTTTTTGGGAATGAAACCATCCTTCAGCCATAAAGATTCCAAAACTATGACACCAGGACTGAGATAATGATCAACTGGATCCCAGCCTACCAGCTAATCTTTGAACACTGGCTGCTTGCCTTTGTGGGTGGACAGATCTGAACCCCTCTATTAGAATGTGCTCTCTCCAACTACCTAAACTGAAATAATTTCCTATCTTCCCTTTAAATTTCCAATTAAAGATTTTGTAAATTTGTGCTTTAGTCTTAGTTCCATTTCTACTAAAGCAAGGATCCATGCTGGCTGGTAACAAGGTCTCATTAAGTATCCCAGTCTGGCCTCCCACTCTCAATCCTCCTGTCTCAGCCTCCTAAATGCTGGTATTTAAGGCATGTGCCATCATACTGTTTTTCATACTTTAAAGGATAACTGTCATGCAAATCTAGTTCTTCCACAAGCCATCATAATCTCTTAAGGATCAAGGCATACCAGAGGGTCACAATGCCTAAGGGTTCCTGTCTCAGTCCTCTGCCTATCCAGCCTATCTGCATAGCTGTGTCTTTCTAGCCGGGAGGGTAATTGTTTTGTCTTAGTTCTTTTTCTTCCATTCCAACTTGTTTAACCTCTTCCACTCCTCAATTCCCCAAGATCCTTAATGTGCCAGATCCTGTATGGACAGTGATACTGCTTATAAAAGAACTACGAACAGTCAAGGAACATGGGAAAGAAAAGTTTATTCAGGTCAGAATACATTGCCACGAGGGACAGCAGGCAAGTTTCCAAGAGAGGAATCGCATGTTCAGAGTGAGATATTGTGGTTTTTGTAAGAAAATGTAGATGTGGGAAAGGGTCTGAGTTGGCAAATGGAGATATCTTAGACGTATTTTCCAGGGCATGCTGTTTCTTGTTACTCTTCCAGGAACACTTGTGTCATAACGGACGTTGTACATGAAAGTTGCAAATTGCCAAGGTCATTTACTCCCGTTTCACAGAAGCCGCTTTAGTTTTAGATAAGGCTGCCGAAACACATTAATTCTTTGAGAAAAAAATGGACAAACAGGTCTTTATTTTTATCATGTTTAGCTACTCAGGATCAGCACAATGCCTCCAAACTGCCCAGCATGTGCTGAGCAGGATTGTGTTGGCAGAGAAATTTGTGTTGCTGACAATTTTAACTCTGGTGTCAACACATTTAATAGGTTTTGACTTCAGGTCCTCCTATCGCCAAGGCGCCATGAGTGCTACTTCACACTCTGCGTATGCACCCCTGTGCTGGTTCCTCATTGGCCAACTCAGGGAAGCCGGACCATTAGGCTCGCGATTCCTCCTCACCCTAAATACGTGCCCACTGGGGCTGGCCACCTCCCTACGCAGTGGTGGATAGCGTCAGGGAGCAGGTTGGAGGTTAGTTTTCCCGACGTTTGTCGCAGTCATTATTGGTGTCATGGCTAGAAGCGTCCACTAGGTTAGTGGAGAGAGGGCGGTACAACTGCTGAACAACGTGAAAAAGCCGAGTGCAGCACACAGCATCCACGACGGCCATCCCCTAACCACTTGAATCGACTCTCCTCCACGGACTCAGCTCCACCGCCCGCAGCGAGGGCCGCATCCGGGGCCTGCGCTCCACGACCGGAAATGCCACTGAGAAGCGCCCGCCCTCGTGCAGCCTAGAGCGGCCCCGGAAGAGCTGGCGCGGCTCTGCGGGGCGGTGTGTAGGTGACCGGACGGTAGCTAGGCCCGCCTCTCCGCTCTGGTGAGTCCCCCGGAAGCCGTTCCAGGGTCGCCGTGGGAGGGGTCCCTTGTTTCGTCTCCCCAGGAAGAGGCGCCTGGCCCTGGCTGGAGACTGTTGCAGTCTTTCGGATCGCGCGGAGGCCCGGGCTCGAGAGCCTGTTTGTCTTCAGACCTGGTTCAGCCGAAGCCCCGAGGATCAAGAGCTCCGCAGTCAGAACTCGGTGACCTGTCCTGGGTGTGCGCTGGGAAGGCCCGCTTCGCACTTTGGGGGACCGTGCCTTTGCTTAGAAGGGAAGCGGGAGGAGGGCAGATCCCCAGCTTGGGGCCTCTTGAGGCCAGGCTGGAGCTGGCGAGGGCTTTTACGGCGGGTTGTGGGAGGATATAACCCTGTCACGTCCTTGGGGTTGAAGGACACCCGTCAAACTTAACTGGAATTGCAGCTCTTTCTTGTGTTACCAGGCTGCCCACCTAGTCTGACGAAGGGTCTGCCCCCCTCAAAATGGAGTTTCCTTGTTAGCCAGGCCCATTTAGTAGTTCAAAATGGGCTGACAAATTGTTACCGAGTAATACCTCAGGGGCCTAGGTTTGGAAGAAACAATGAGTAATCATAACAAGCATATTGCTTTGGGTAGACTTGAGCTTCCAGCGAAGGTTGTAAATTTCAACTATTTTGGACTTTCTACAGAAAGCTCTACACTATCCAGCGGCACTGTGCGTGCGTGTGTGTTTTGTTGTTGTTAAACTCACTGTGTAGTTCAGACTGGCCTCGAACTTGGGTGATCCTCCTGCCTCAGCTTGCCCAACGCTAGGATTACTGACTTGTGCCCGCATGCTCTGCGTTTTTTTTTTTTTTCCTTCTTAAATACCACAAATTCCGAATTGGTGGAGTTCAAATAAACCTTCATACTTGGACCTAAGATTTGGATCTGAAGTATTTGAAGTTGAATAATAACTATGTTTGTTTCTGTTGTTCGTTTGGGTGGTTAATCATTATTATCCAGCTTTTATTGAGTATCTACAGTGTGTAAGATATTTTACTACGTCCTGAGGACATGAAATAATGTGATCTTTTATCTTCTTCCAATCATTTCTCCTAATCTCACCCTGCAGTGATGGTCATTGTTCTCCAGAACAGGGATGGAGGAACTGTCAGCCCAAGAAGCCTCAGGATCACCAGGGGTCCAGTTTCAGTCTTTGGAGACCCAGTCTGAGTGTCTTTCCCCAGAGCCTCAGTTCATGCAGGACACCGACATGGAGCAGGGACTCACTGGGGGTAAGGCAGAGACAACGCTTGTATCCAGGAGAATGGGAGTTTAGAGGGGCTTCTGGGCCTGCCTGGTGTGATGAGATCAACAACTTGAACAAGAAGATGGCCCTCAGAGGGAGGACTGGCCTGGGCCCTTCTATTAAGGATGGTTCATCTTTAATAAGCAGAGGGGTCGTCACTCACTCCTTGGCTTTGTGTCTTTCAGACAACCTTCACTTTATCCCAGTTATCACATCTAGAATAATTTCTGAGCTATGCTGCTTTTGCCACATCTCATAGTTCTTGCTTGGCTCTTAGATTTAGTACCTTTCCCTCGCCCTGTTAGCTTCACTTAGTTTCTCTTCGCTTGCTGACTGTGTGCTTTGCCACTTGCCATTCTGTTGCAATTGCAGTGTTTGTGACTAATGTACTTTTGTTTTGTTTTGTTTTGTTTTTGGTCTTTTTGAGACAGGGTTTCACTATGCAGTTCAGGCTGGCCCTGAGTACACTTTGTAGCCCAGGCTGGCCTCAACTCACAGCGATCCTTGTGCCTCAGCCTTCTGAGTGCTGGGATTACAGGCATGCACCATCATGTCCAGCTTGTGACAGATGTTATCTAGTTTTGATGAAGAAAGCAAGCATTTAATTCCTTGTTTGAACACAATGCCTGTTTGAATGCATTCATGTTACATACTGACTATATAATCACATTTTAATGCTTTGGAGAGATAGGTTGGCCAATTTTTTTTTTTTTTTCTTTTTTTTGTTAAGAACTGTGTCTTAGATTGCTGTGGCCAGCTCTGGTGCCAGAAGTAACTTGTACGTCAGCACCACGGGAGGAGTGCCACAGTGTGTAGTGTGCTGTGGGGACATTGTGGGAATGTGGAAAGGATTATGAAGAAACAGATGACTGTTCCTTATTCCTGGAAGCCTTACACACTGGTTGCAGAGACAGTGCCCACTTGTAAGAGAAAAACTTACTGGAGTTTATAGCTGTGTCTGGGAAACTAGAAATCTACTGAATTACTCTGGCCTTGATAAGACACTATAAATCTTTATGCTTTGCTTCGCCCACTGCAGAGCAGGAACGGTGCTTCCCCTTGTGTGAGAAGAATGTCAGGTTATGAGGATAGAGTGAAATAGATTTCCTAATAAAATCCTGTGCCATAGGCCTGAACATGCATGAGTAAGTCATACAAGGGCTAAGGAGAGACAAGAGTGGAGCTACCCAATACCTGATATATATTCCTTGGTTTCAGTACATATTGATGTGAAAGAGGGTCCCACTGACACCCCTTGGGCTGGAGAGGCCTCTTTTGAAGGGAGCCCTGTGGAAGGGCTGCTCTTACTCTTGATCCTTTCTCCTTCCTCAGCTCCGCCTGTTCCCCAGGTGCCTGCTCTTCCCCACGAGGGAAGCCCAGGAGACCAGGCAGCTGCACTCCTGACAGCCAGGTACCAGGTGAGCTTAGGAACCCTGTGCTTTTCCTCAGGGATGGTTGCTGCTGGTTGAGTGTGGCCTCTCTCAGTCCATCCTTTAAACCTTGTCTGGAATTTTTTTCACTAGCAGACCCCAGTTTGGGAACTGACTCTCTTCAGAGAACTAGCCTTCACACAGACTGCTTTCCCATCTCCCTGACACCATGAGCAGATCTTCTTTGTCCCTGGTGCTGTGATGGGCACTTACTAGATCTTTAAGGGTTGTGGGATCATCTCCCTATATTTTAATCTGTTCTTCATCCTCCCCATAAATACACATGGATAACCTCTCTGTCATCATCTCCATTTCCTGGCCATGGTGCTACAATGGCCTCATTTCCCCAAGAGCAGCCAGGATGTGTTATTTCAGGAGTTTGTGACATTCGAGGATGTGGCTGTGTACCTTACTCGAGAGGAATGGGGACGCCTGGACCCTGTTCAGAGGGACCTCTACAGAGAAGTGATGTTAGAGAATTATGGGAACGTGGTATCACTGGGTAAGGATTGTCTTATACTCAATTTACCTATTTGGATTTCTTGTTTCTGAGTAAATGTGAAGTCTTTGAGAAGGTTAATAAAGTGTGGCTTAGATTTCAGGTCTTAGAACTTCTGAATCCTCTGATCTTTAAGGACATCTCCTCTGGAAAGGATAATTAGAATTTCTTTGCAGTATCAAGAGGAGACATTGTACTCTTTGTCGTCCTAAGTTCATGTTTTCTGCTTTTTTGGGACATCTGTTCCCTGTTAGCAAAGAGAAACTTGCTTGTGCTTTGCTTAAATTCTCATATTCCCTATCTTCTTCTTTTTTTCTTTTTTTCTTTTTTTCTTTTCTTTTTTTTTGGTAAGAGAGACTCTAGAGTACCCTCCCAGCCCTGGCCAGGCTCTTTCCTCTCTGGTATCTTTGTTATATATCTCAGAGTGTCCCACTTTAAAAAGACTAAAATCTTTTTTGAGTAATCTCCTACCTCTTAAGATCTCCAAAGTCACCTCCACATAGGCAAATTGGAGAGACTTGATAGAATGGCATGAGTCACTGTGAGTACATTTCAGTGAGTCACTTCGATGGTAATCCCAAGTAACCACCCCCAGGGTAGCAGAAGTCTCAGACATTTATCCTCCCCAAAGGTGGGGTAAATTCTTGCTGGGCACTCTGGCTCATGTCTGTAATCCTAGCAGTTGGGAGGGTGAGGCAGGAGGATCACTGAGTTTGAGGCCAGCCTGGGCTACATAGTGAGTTCTAGGCGAGCCTGAAGTACATAGTGAGACTCTTTTCAGAAAACCAGAAAAACAAAAAAATTACTAAACCATGTCTGTCCTTTATCATTTTGAATGATACAATAGGCAGCTGTAATTAAGTACCTGTAATACACTTGACAAGCATCAGCAGAGGGTTGTTGGTAGCCTCCTTGGTGTGAGCGTTGTTTCTTTCTGTTTCTTTCTGTCTCTCCTCTGCTTCTGTAAGCATGTATTATGACTGTATTTACTCACTCTTTTCTTTCTTTTATGCTTTGCCTATATTGGTGGCGTGCGGGACATTTCTTTGTCTCCCTGATTACACTTAGGCTTCACTCAGTCTTCTTAACTGTGGGGAGGAAGTCTGCCCACTGGAAAGGTTTTTAGTATGTTTTCCATTCCTGGCTCTTTGATCTTTATAGGCATACTTCTCCGCCTTCCTACCACCCGGATTCATTGTGTGAATTCCTGCCCAGCTCTGAGTCATACCCAGGCAAGTGCTTTCTCTGGAGAAACACTTGCAGTACTTTCAGCAGGAATCTCCAAGAGATGGCCCAAGTGTCGGCTTCCCATCGGTAGTGCTCGTCCCTGCTCGGAAACTTCCTTTCCACAATTGTAAGATACTAAATTTGGTTGATGGAATAGATGCTCCCTGGGATACCACCAGTATGTAAAATTGTAGTTTCTCAAATGATCTTTGTTAAATTTCTAATATGAGGGGCTAAGGAAGCCTTTCCTTGCAACCAGATGCATTTTGAACCCATTTCATTCAAAAATCATGCTTGGTAGTCAAATGCTTATGTTCTGAGAAGCTGCAGAGTTCAGAAGTTCAGTTCCACCTCTCCATGTGATCTTGTGTTAGAATGTGGCACATGCGCTGTGTCCCCTCCTTTTCTGCAGTGAGGACCTGTGCCTTGTGTTGCCTCACTCTCCTGTGACCCCTGGGCTTTCCTTATGTTTAACATCAGGCTTTCCTCCTTCCTTTAAAGGCCTGCCTTCCTCCCCTTGACTCTGTGGTGCTATACAGATTGATTCATTTATAGTACCTTTCCTGATTAAGTGTACCTTAGCACTGTTTGATGGAGGGGAGATGGGAGGGCAAAAAAAGTTAAATCTCTTTTTTTTTTTTCAGGGCATCAATATGAATGTATATTTAATAAATTTGTAAAATGTAAAATGATATACATATATAATTGTAAATTATTGTCAATTTTACTTAATAATTACAGAATTTCCAACATTAACCTGTCTAATTTTTGGAGCAAATCTTCGTAGCAAAACTTATAGATTACGGTATAATGTAGTCTAGTAGCACAACTTGTGATGAGACTGAACTTTATTCCATTTTCCATGTCATTTCTGCGTACACACATAGGACACCCATGTACACTCTGACATACCAGTCACACTACTGGAAGCCCACCTACTCACTGCTTTTATGACCAGGTCAGCAGCATCTCTTTAGAAATTATTTTTATGGGAAATCATTTTATATTTGTGGGTTCAGTGAGCTGCACCTGAAATTGAAGGTTGTACTGTTCGTGGTTGTAACAGAAAGGCTTTATAATTCAGTTCCCACTTCATGGTTCACATCTTTTTTTTCTCATGACAGTAGCTCTGAATTGTGTTTGCTACAGACATTAGAACTTTGGTCCTTCGGTTAAGTGCTTTCACTGTGTACTAGAAAATGTACAGAATATAAACAGTCACAGCTGAGCCAGGTGGGTTGGTGCATACCTGTGATCCCAGCAGGGATTACTGAGAGGTTAAGGCCAGCCTGGGCTACATAGTGACTTCAAGGCCAGCCTGAACTATATAGCAAGACCCTGTCTCAAAAAAAACCAAAACAAGAACAAGAAAATAATCACAGCAGAACTTTGATTAAATGTTTCCACTAGATAGTAGTAAATACGTAGAATAGGAATAACTGAGTGAAAAGTATATAATAAAGAATTTTCATTATCACATTTTTTTTGTTCTTTTGAGACAGGGTCTTGCTATGCAGTTTAGGCTGGCCCTGAGTTGACATTGTAGCTCAGGCTGGTCTAGAACTCACAATGATTCTCCTGCCTCAGCCTCCCAAGTGCTGGGATTGCAGGCGTGCACCACCACGCCTGGCTTAAATTTAAAATGAAGCATATTTTTGTTATTGACTATGAACAAATAACTGACTTTTGTACCCAAAAGGAAATTGCCTGTGAGTGCTGAAGATTTTGGGCTGGGCTGCACTTTACATAGGTCATTATGGCAGATGCTCTATAATAGATGACAGCAGTAGAAACATGCTTATCAAAGTTCTAATTGGTGATAAATGAGTCAATAAATCAGGCATGTTTTACTCATATCCATGGCTTTTTGAACTTGATGTCATAGAGGGCAGCAGTGATTTTGCACAGAGTATTTTCTCCTGTTTGCCGAGCAATGTGTTTCTAGGTAGTGTGTGTATATATCACTTAATCCTTACCACAACCCTGTGAAGAGAAGATGTTATTCTTTGTGTCTGAGGACATTGAGGCTCAGAGAAGTTAATAGGCTTAGGAGCCAGATGTGTCTTGGGTGTTTGTGCTCTTTTCTACTGTTTTTGCTTTTAGGATAATAAGTGCCCCCATATATGACATTTAAATTTTGTTTTTTCCAATATTAGGGATTGAACCCAGGGCCTTTGCACTGACTTACAGTCCCAACCCTTTATTATTTTGGGGGAAAGTCTATCCAAGTCAAGTAAGTTGCCCAGGATGGGCTTGAACTCATGATCCTCCTGCCTCAGGATTTTAAATGTTTTTAATGGGTTATCTTACTCTAATAATAAGGAGAGTCAAAGTGACCATGAAAAATTGGACAGACAGACAAGTTTATACATTTTGGGATCAGAGAGGCCATACATGCAGGAAAAAAAACTATCTAGGAGTATAGTCTAGTACAGGAGTTATCTATGGAATAATGCTGTTGCTCGTTGTGACTGCTCATGCCTGTAATCCCAGCTACTGAGGAGACTGAGACAGCACAGGTTTGAGGTCAATTTGGGAAACTTGGAGAGACCTTTTCTTAAAAACAGCTTGGGGATATAGCTCAGTGCTGGAGCACTTAGCTAGTGTGTGTGAAGCCCGGTGCCCCTCCCCCAACAAGAAAGCTATTGCTAAGAGATTTTATTTGTGTATTTATTAAGGACCACGAAGGGAAGCAGGAAGCTTCCAAATTGTAGAAATCTTTAGCACAATTGTGGTAAAAGGAACAAGCCAAATAAAGTAAAATTGAAATGCTATTTAGTCTACGGCCATACCACCCTGAACGCGCCTGATCTCGTCTGAAATGTTATTTAAATTTTGTGGTGCTAGGGATTGAACATATGACCTTGTGCACAGTAGGCGCGTCCTCTACCACTGGGCTGTGTCTCCAGTGCTTTTGTATTTTGAGGTAAGGTCTTACTGAGTTCCCTAGGCTGGCCTACTCCCCACTCAAAAAATTTTTTTCCTTTGGAGACAGGGTCTCACTGTGTAGCCCAGGGTGCCTTTGAACTCACAGAGATCCTCCTGTCTTTGCCTTCCAAGTGCTAGAATTACAAACATGCACCACTATACCTGGCTTCACATTTTATTTATTTTTCAAAAAAATTTTTTTTTTTTGAGACAGGGTCTCACCACATAGTGCAGGCTGGCCTTGAACTTGCTTATGTAGCCCAGGCTGGCCTGGAACTCACAGTGATCCTCCTGACTCAGCCTCCTGAGTGCTAGGATTACAGGCGTGTGCCACCATGCCTGGCTTTATTTTTCAAATGTTATTTTTATTTTGTCTTTT